ACTGGTACTGCCACCATAACTGCGTGTCGCTCGAAGGACTCCCAGGTGACATGGGATAGAAGCAGGGAGGATTTCCAGAGTTTGGCTATTGGTAGGCCTGTCTCACCTCCACGTCCAGATGGACGTGAATGTGAAATGGGTGGAGTGGCAGCTGGTATTCAAGTAATCAATTCTTTTTGAGAAAGCCGTGCTTGTGGAAAGCAATTTGTTTATGGTTTATGTGCAAAAAAAACAACATCTTCCCTTTGGAGATATGTCAGGTAGAGTGGGTAGAGATTGTCCATTGGAGAACTTAATTAAATAGTTTGTGAATTTGTGAAGATATTTTGAGCATTTGCTTAATCAATTTTCTTTATTTTTGCAAATTGTTATAATTGAGTTCAGCCAAATCAATGATGACTTGAAATTGCATCTTTTTCCTTTGGATCTTTATTAAATATTATGGTTGCGATTGGGCTTTTTTAAATTATTTCTTTCAGAGGTGTTCACACGAAAAAATGTGATTTTGTGCTTTGGTTAATACCTTCTTTGTCTATCTTTGCTTCAAAGTACATCATAGAAATCAGTGGCATGTGCATAACAAAATGATTAGAAATGAGGATAAATATCTGGAAGCTGCGACCCATCCAGTTTTTCATACTTTTGTAAGAACATCGTTCTCTTTCATTTTCCCATTTGATTATGCATTAGTGTCGAAGGGATTTAAAAGCAGAAGCTGACAATTATTCTAGAGAATATTAAGAATGGTCTTTGTTCCCTTGCGGTTAATGCAAAAGCAGACAAAGTCTTTATTCGCAAAGAGGAACATAAACTTTTGAAAAAATGTACCCTCAAAAAAAAGCATTAGCGCTGATTCTAATATACTTTATGTAACAGTAAGATGGAAACCTTTCAAGATGATTTCCCCAGTCATTGCAGTGCAAAGACATGTGCCAATAATGCCCCAACAATAGTCTATTCTGTCGTCAAAGCAAGACAGTTTGCTATCTTAACTGGGTAAGATTTGTGTGTTTATATGGTAATCTGTACTTTAGGCAAATTATGTCAAATGTGGAAGTAGAATGGATCTCCATCTGTCAGAATTTGTGGCCAAAAGTGACCGGGCCCGAATGCAGGACAAGTGCATGAGCGGGTGAAACAGAGAGTCAGAGGGGTTCTTTTTAGTAAAATAAAGGATAACTAACACTTTTCCAGGAAAGTTGTATGAACAAAACAAAAGAGGAAACAACAGACGGGCTGACTGACAATTAGGACATAAAAGAATCTCAGAAAAACAAAAACAATGATCTGGAATAGGGATGAAACGGAAAATCAGGAGAATATGTACTGGAGAAGTGATTAGGGGATTAACAACAGACGAGGTAGTTAGCGTCAGACACCAGGTGTTCAAATCTTTAAAAAATAAAATAAAAAAGGAAACATCAAAACAGCACATAAGAAAATGAAAAGACAGAAGCCAACAGAAGCTGATATATATATATATGTAAAAAGTTGTTTTGTTCTAAACTCCATTTATCCAAATTATTAGGGTTTATTTGAGGTGTTCCAGTGTAAACGAATAAGACACTCCATCAGAATGCAGATATTTGAGTAGGTACCATAAAGTTTTCCAATTAAACTTCTCATTCACACACACCGGCCGCATCTAAAAGCAGCTGACCAGCAGAATTTCTGTTTTGTTTTTTGGACAGACACGGAAATGCCAACGTGAAAAGCATCTTGTTCGAGGTGTTGCAAACTGTGGACCGTGATGAGTACGAGGCTGGTGGGCCCAAACATGACATTCCCTCTAATCGATGCATGTTTCTTTGGCCACTTGTTTGCCACCAGCTCAGACGATGTACTCCTGCTGTCACCAACTCAAACACATGAGCGTCTCAGTTTGGATTTCACAAGCTGCTTGACTTTACAACTCTAGTGTCGCTTGGACCAGCGTGTTACTCCATATTGCTCGTGTGGGCTGGTTAGATCAATTAGAGAGACTAAATCGCTGTGACCGTCTCATTGTGTTCATCTAGTAGGGGAAAAAAGGAGCAACAAAACAGTGGAAAAGTTGTCCTAAGTGGCAAGACGTTGATGGCAGGAAAGCTTCCAGAAATAAGTGTCTATGAACACAATATACTTTACTATCAGCAAATGCAGGTTACAAACCACATCTGCACATGCTCTAGAAATAATGTGATCTTCTATGAGTCAAAACTAATTTTACGTGGACTAAAGAAACTTTTCTGGTGGTTTGAAAAAAAATATTCAATAAAAAATGAGAACCGTATTCTGGCTTGCTGCAAGTGTTTAGTTAAAAGTTGTGAATCTCTTCTGTTTTAGTGTTCATGGAGTATCATTTGTTGTGAACAGGATGATGTCTTATTCAGGGAACGTCACTGAAGAGCCTGAAATATCTGCTGCATAGCTGAGACAACGGCTGTAGAATTTCAACAGACATAAAAAAGTATAACATTCTCCTCCAATGGTCAAAACATTGATGAACAGAACCAAACCTTCAAAGGATGTGTGGCTTCCATAAAATTCAAGAAGTGCTACTGCTTTTCATTAAATAGAATGGCCTTTTCGTTTTTTTATTACTGTGAAATTTTCAAAAACATTTTCAATCGTCTGTTGTGAAGCAAATGATCATTACCTTAATTTTTCCCTAGGAAATTACACAACTTTCCAAATTCTATCGGTATTGAGATTTGAAATTGGAGAAATAATGTCTGCATACATTTCCTCAGAGTGGAGGGAAATCTTCTAAAACAACTTGCGTTATAGGGTTTTTGTTTTGTGAGGCAAAGCAAACCAGAGGATTGTTGCAGGATATCTGCTTCTAGTCAGCCATACTCTTCTTCAATATCCAGAAGGTTACTGCTGATGTGAAAACGCTTTTTTTAAGGTTTCATTTTCATGCAATAGGACATAAGAAGCAGGAGAAACAAAAACACAAAGCTATGTCAGTAATTTATTTGTTGGCAAACAACTTTCACTGTTACAACAAATATTAGTTATGAGATCATTCAACTTGGAACCCATACAAAAAGAATAAATAATTATCAGTAATATTGTAATTATAACCATGGTCATAATAATTTAAGAAAAGAAATAAAAAAAGAAAGAAAGAAGGGAAAAAAACCCAGTGCCACTTTGGATACTCCTGTCTAAAGCCATCCTTCATGCCTCCCGGCTTGTTTTGTGGTCTTTAAACCAACAAACGGATAATAAATAATTTCTCTCTCTTGGGGGGGAAAATGGAGGAGGGTGTTTTCGTGGAATACATGTGCAAGGCTACACTTCATACATTTAGTCAATCCCCCCCACTCCCACCCCCCACCCCCCCCCCCCCCCACAAATTGGTAAACACTGCCTTTCCACATCGGACAGTGCAGTTGTGAGCAGAGTTTTCACATGTTTCAGTACACAGGATACAGAGGAATGGCGCCCTTTCCCCCCAAAAAGAGTTACAGCTCAGAGATTGACATCAACGTATCAGCCACTGCGGCGAGGCGATGCCAGCTTTGAATGTTTGCAGCGCAGACGACACAACTCATCGTGTAGCGTAGTGTAGCACCTGTTCCTTCTGCCACCTCCACCGTCCCTGAACCACCCGGCTTTCCCTTTAGGTTTAAATCTACACAGTGGTCAAGCATGTAGCGATGACTGATATGCAAAATGTGACAGTGGTGCTGCTATAAAAAAGACCAGAATACTATGTGCTTGTGTGTGTGTGTGTGTGTGTATGCGTGTTGGGGTACATGTATATTAATCAAGGAATGTTAAAATGTATTTTGGGGGGGGGGGGGCGGACAATAAAAAACAAAAACAAAACATGACACGAACAATTGTTCCTTGCTCTGTCCGCGGTCGGGGCACGACCAGGACGTGACGCGACGCCTTTAAAACGGTCCCTCTGACAGGAAAAGCTTTGAAAAATGAAAGTTCAAAAATAAAAAGACTCAGAGTCATATGCAACATTTGTATCTGCATCTGTATTCTGTACAATACATAGAAACAGTTTGTGATTTCCTCATAGTCCTTCGGTAACTGAAAACGTTTACAGAAGAAAGGAGAACGAACGGAATAGTTTTTTTTTCTCGTTTTTTTTTTGTCATCGTTTTCTTTTTTTCTTCATTGCAGTCAGAAGTAAAGCGCTCCTCCCTCCCTTGTTTTCAGTGAAACACACAGTAGCTGCAGTCACTACAACTCGCAGGAATGTTACACCAGCCCAGACACAGCTCCAGTTTAGCAGAAACGAACAGGAAAAGGGTTCAGAGCATTGGCCTTATATGGTTACTGTTCGATATCCGATATCCCAAATGTTCCAGCTTTTTTTTTTCTTTTCTTTTTTTTAACTGTTGGAAGTGAGGGGGGCATGTATCATACATCCCTCACTGGATTGGCAGGAATGCAGGTGCCTCTTTGGGGCCAGTTTACATTGTGATCGCCACAGCTCAATGTCCTGCTCGACCCTTCAAAAGGTGAAACTACGATCCGAGAAGGTGTCTTTGAGAGTTAGACAGAGAGACGGACATACAGAACAGACAGGCAGCTCCATTAACCGGGGCCAATCACCTCGCCCTCATGGCGGTGCTGATGGTGGAGACTATACGCTAGGATCTGCTAGAAGTCCACACTGGGGGGTCTGGCAGGGCTATGGTCGGTCCGAGTATTCCACAGTAAAGCAAGTGGAATTTCGGGGAAAGAAAAAAAACAAAAGAAAACCCGATCCCTCCCCCGGTCCTGTTCCAAGTCGAAACTCCATTCTTGTTTGACGCTTACAAAATGGTCTTTCGAGCCGACCCCTCGCCGTCTGCACCGTCCATGACAATACATTCGGCCCCTCGTCGCGTTGACCGGTGATGTCGTCATGGGCTGCCGTTGAAGTCGCGCACAGTGTATCAAACCCGGGACGGGCCAGCTCGGTCTGCCAGTCAACAACACAGAATGCTTTAATTGGGAAGGGCTCATTTCGGGGGGTTGAGGAGGGACAAGGAGTCTGAGTGGCTCTATAGACTGGTAACAAGGTGGGAAGGGTCCACGGGCGGCTCCTCGGGGGACGAGTCGGACTCGTCCTTGCTCCCGGACACCATGTATCCGTCGCTGCCGCCGCGACCCATGTGGTAGTAGCTCTGCAGCTCGTGGAGGTGGTTCCTGGAGCCCAGGTTTGGCATGCTCTTGTAGTAGACGTCGTCCAGCTCCGGAGCGGTGGCGCTCTTGCAGGGCTGCAGCTCCCCGGAGCTGTCCTCCTCGCCGTCCGTTAGACCGTTCATCTGCCCGTCGGGGAGGTCCGTCAGCACTGGCATGCTGGTGTAGAGGGAGTCTCTGTGGTTGGGCGAGTGCGTGTGCTCATCCGTGTGCTCGCTGGTCAGCAGGGGGAAGAAGCTCTCGCTGGGCTCCTGGGGAATGCGCCGCTGGCGGGAGAAGCTGTGCGGGGGCGGCGGCGGCGGCGGGTGGCTGTCCGGGGGAGGGGGCCGCGGCGGCAGGAGCGGCGCGTTGGATTCCTCTCGGATGATCTCCAGGCCCAGGTTCTCCTCGTGGGGGAAGGCGGCCGGGTTGTCCAGCACCATGGGACTGTTGTCCTCTTTGCCGCTGCCCACGCAGCCGCCGACCCCGCTGCTGCTGCTGCTGCTGCTGCCCCCGGGCAGGCTCCCTGAAACAAGCAGGCAGGAGTAATGAAGCGCTGCGCAAGGCAGAAGGCATTACCTCAAGGAAGGTGCATGCAGCAGGTTATCTTATGTATCCTCGCGCAAACTATGATGGAGGTACCACGGGAACCATGGGACCCGGTCAAGAAATCTCACAGCGAACAGGGAGGTTTCTGACTATGCGACTCACAAAAGCTGTACAATGGGACTTTACGGTACCAGTGCAAAGCTAGGGGAGGAGTCTCTCAGAAACAGCAAAGGTGGCAACAAATGTCAAGGGTTATTTCCATCTATTCGGTTCCAATCCACACATTGACATAGCTTCCAAAAAAAAGACCACCTCTCATAGCGTGGTGCGAATATGACAGAGTGGTAGGTTTTTGTTTTTCTGCTGGCTTTAGCCCTAGTCTCTGCCCCCTGGTTTTTTTTCCAAACATCGTGACTTATATTGCTTCATAATTGTTGCTCCTTGCCAGTAACCTGCTCTGGTCTCGGCAGACTTAATTATGTAAATGTCAACGGTTTGGTGCCCTTTTTGTCCGGGCAGTCTTTGGATTTTGACACTTGGTCAGTGATCCAAAATGAATGGGATCAATGAAACCTCCTGTTGGAAAAAATGCAGCCTCTTTAGGGAGGCCGTTGAGTGACGTTCGGGGAAAAGATCTGCATTGCGCTTCAGCCTGCGTGTCCATGTTCCACCCCACAGCTAAACACCCGTAGACACTTGTTTAATGTGTATCTATCGACTGCATCCTCTAAGAGTGTCACACGGTCAGATAATGTGTACTTCCAGCCCTCCGTGTGTACATCTAAAAGGTGTTATAATTATAAACTCAATTTTATTAAGTGTGATGGGTTTTTTAAATCTCTTTTTTTTGTTTTTTTTCAAAGCGGCTGGTGTGATTGACAGGTTTGACATTTTAATATATCAGAGGTGATAGGATGTGACAGTTATTGTCACAGTTTCTGCTTTTAGCTTCCCATCAATGACCAAGAGCTTCATTAGGTCATATTAAATTCACTCCTTTAAAATAAGCATACCACGCATACCAGCACATTAGAATTTAACATCAGACTCTGGCTGATTGTCAGAGTGTTTTTTTTTTCTTCCATGGCAGATAATTCATGTAGCAGCAATGGCGACACAGCCTAAACAGAGAGTGGTTCTGAAAGAACCATCTTCTCCATGTTGCTGGGCAAAGCGAGGTTAAGACAAAATAAGATTTTTTTAAAAATGTAAATAAAAACGAAGAGTGAATATTCGACTGTCAAGATTAGATCTGACGGTGCCCCAGAAGTGGAAAGGCTGGCAAACTGTCATGTCACATCAGTGAGTTAAATAAAACAACCTGCCCTGTTTTTAAGAGAGCCAAGCTTTTTTTTTTTGGTCTTTTGTCATTATAACGCTGCAAATTTGGGGATTTTCGGTCATAAAATCAGACCATTGTAAGTATGTCCGGATGAAGTTATTCACATGTGACTGCTTGTCTTAAAATAATATTTATATAACTAAATTAAACCACACGTCACCTCCGTTGGCCAGGCTGCTGTTGACCAGCTTGTTCATCAGGTTGTGGCTGCGCTCGGTCGTCGCCCGCTCGTGGTTGTTGAGGTAAGGCGGGATGTAGTTGGAGGTCAGCTCCTTCAGGATCTTCTTCTCCAAGGTGGTCTCCTTGTGGTTGCTGTGGGTGCCGTAGCCGCTGCTGCGATCTAGAATCTGAACGCAGTCACTCAGGTACTCGCTGCTGGCCATGCTGTAGTTGTTTGCATGGTTGCCATTCAGAGGGAGCGTATCCATGACACTGGAGTCTCTTGCGTTGTTCAAGATGCCCTCTGACGAGGCAAAAAGACAAAACGAGAAGAGTAAAGAGGATTTTTCCCGATACCACATGACGGTTTTATAATCTTTAGAAACACGGTATGTGTTTGAGTTGAGTTGAGGATTTAAAAATCCAATGATAATTTCTTGAGGGGTAAAAAAAAAGCTTTGAGTCATCCGTTATTTCTTTCTCGGTTACATCAAGATAAACATCAGTAGCATAAAACCTATAGCTCCAGTCCTCACAATACAAATGTTTTGATGTCTCAGTTTCTGCAATTATATTGCGAAGAACTTTTAGATGAGATGGAACAAAGGATGTAGGAAATACTTAATTAACCGTAAAAGACAATTATGAGAGGTTTACCCACGTAGTTCTGAGGTGCAATGCATTACGTCTGACATGAGTAAAGGATAAAAAAAACAACTGTCGATACAATTCCTCATTTAAAACACTCAGAAAGAGCATTTATTGGGCACGGCTCATTTTCTCCACACACTCGGTGGACGAACAAATGATATAAGAGAGAGAGAAAAAAAAGCATTTTGCACAGCTTGTACTGAGTGTATTTTGGTTTGAGTAGTGTAGAAGAAAAAAGAGTAAAAGGACATTTAATGCTGGCAAAGGAGAGTTGAGGTAATTTTAATCAATTTAGCTCTTACTTGTGTCTCGGTATGGTGCTGTTGGATGGACAGCATGGGGGAGGAGAGAGAGAGAGAAGACACACAGGTGAGTTCACACAAAACCTGCCACATTCACAGCTCAAAATCAGTCCTATAGCACAGAATTTCTACACATGTACACCAATCCACCATGACCAGCCACCTAACACGGATGTAGCTCTTCCACAGCTCTGACCAGTCAGGGTGTGGCATGAAACCATATTAGGGATTCCAGAAGTGTCTGTTGCTGGGATGTTAGCAATAGATCCTTTCGGCCCTGTTGGATTAGTAGTGAAGTTTATGTGGATTGGGCTTGCTTTCCACGGAGGCTATTAGACAACAGCAGATTGGAATTTGTGGAGTTTGGAAGCCGGATTAAAGATTGAAGTCACGCTCTTTGAGCCATCCCTTCGTGGTTTCTGCATCGCCCTCTGCTGCTCCGCTCGGGGAGCGCTGTTGCCTTGTGGCTTGGGTTTGGGTGTGGGTGCATTTGCCTAATGGTTGATCGCTGTGTGAATTTACACATCCCTAAATGACAAGTCATGTGGTTTCCCTCTTTTTTTTAATACAGATCAAAACCATAAAAGCACACAAATGACAGTTAAAACTGCTCATGCAACTCAAGCCCGGTGTCTCAAAGCAAAGTTCAAAATGACGCAAATTAAATGAAATAAAACTCGATGGCTCCCAGGTAGCTTATAAAAGACATCTTCAGCATGCAGACGCCGTTGCGCGCACACACATGCACGTACACACTAACACACACCGATTTCTATACGTACACATTGCAATGTGATTCACCTCACATGGGAACAACGAAGCAACGAAGCAAAGTGATTTGAACGAAGCAAACATTTTAAAATGAAACAGCCATGCAAAACACATCTAGCAAATAACTTCAAGCTAATTTCTAAGAACATTCATATAATAGGAACATTAGGCAGACCTTGGGTGTTGTACATGCCCACGGCTGGGTTGTTATAGACTGCAGAATCCCCCAGGAGAGTGTTATAAGGGTTGTTAGTACCATGGGGACGAAGGAGAGCATTAGTTATAAGATGATTAGCCATGGCTCCTGGTTCAGGCAGATAGAGAAAGAGAGAGGAAGAGTGACAGCCAGGGCGAGACATGAGGAAAAAGGAAAACGAACAGCCAAGTCAAGAGAGAAAAAGAGAGAGAGAGTGCTCGAGAGTGAAAAAAAAAGGCATGGTGGAGACAGAGGTTAAAGGAGGAAGCGTGTAGCCATTGCGGAGTGGAAGTAGGCAAGAATTGGAAAATCAAAGAGAGGGAAAGTGAGATGGAGAGCAAGTGTGTGGAAGAAAGAGGGAGAGAAGAGGACAAGTGAGTCAAACAAGCAAACACAGTTTAGGGAGGAAGCAGAGGAAAAGCTTGACAAGTGATTCTAGCAGCCACTGCGCACAGGCTAAGGGAGGGGACGGAAGACAGAGACAACGGGAGCTTAGCGTGGCTCAGAGCAGGCTGTGCTTCAGTTCAGTGCGCTTGAGCGGAGAGGCATGACTACAGGACAGCTAATGGACAAAAGAGCCACGAAAAAGAAAAAAAAAACACTCCCAGCTGGGAGACAGATTATATATACATTAAGATAAATACTGAAGTCAAATAACCAGGACAGGTCTAATTTATTTCTCCTCCAACTGCATTCCACTGTGTCTCAAATTGTATGCAACCTCTACCAACACGTGTGTACCCGTGTCTTACAAAATCAAAAACGTGGAGGCCCCTAGAACATCTCAGTGCTGGCTTAATGAATGGTCTTCACCTCTGGTTGTAATGCTTGAGTCCAAAAATGTTGCTAATCCCTCACTGACAACGGGTTTATCCCTTTTCTCACATAAGAAAAGGGAAACTTTATCGTTTTTATTCCACCTACAAATACAATTTGGCACTTACTGAAAGAATGTTACATGTATTTATTCTTTATAATCTTAATGACTGGATTGTCGTATCTTAACTGGCTGCTTATGACTTTTTTTCAAATAATTGAAGGGGAGGATTATGGTGCAAATGCAAACAAATGCTACAGATACAAGTGATCATCAGCATGTACTTATGGCAGCTTGACCTGATTTTAGACACTTGGAAGTGTAGGACCAGAGAGCATTCTCTCTCATTTCTTGAGCATTACTGGTGAGCGATATACTGTTAATTTTTTTCAATAAATTGGAAAAACGTTTTTTTCTGTATTTAGTTGAAAAAATATTTTTAACATTTCCTTTTACCAAGATTACATTCAGAATATGTTGCTGACGCAAAAATATTTAGAAACCATTCACATATAATACCAGCTAGGGATTTTTTTTAACTTTTTTACCAAATCAAAAGATCATATTGGCATCACCCATCTTGCTAAGACTATACATATTGGTATGTGATGTAACGAGCCCTTTATAACATACTTACTTAAGTTTTAACACTTATCATATTACTGCTTTATTTTAGGAGGTTCTATTGTTATCTGTTATGTGGCCATGTGAGAAAGAAATAGATTAAATATACCCATTTGGTTTGAAAACAGCTGAGTAAAATAAAAAAGTAAAACAAACGGTTTCCGGATGACGTAGGTGCTAAATGTTAAGTTGCCACCCTGGAAATCCGACGGGAGTTCGGAGCGCCACCTAATGTCTTGTCTGCAGATAGGATGAAATCTGTCAAACGGCGTGGAATTAAAGCTGCCACAGATTATGAGCTCGAAAAGACCAACTGTAAAATGCCCTGTCTTGAAAAAAGTAGGGCGCCGCTACCTCATGGAGGAGGCTGTGCATCTTTGACTATGACAACACGGAGACGGGAGACAAACCAAATGCTTTTTGACAGGGTGTCAATTTTTCCTCCCCCTCCGTTTCTACAATACAATCAATATGTTGTGTGGTTGCTCAACGTGGGTTTGACACCATTTCCATATCACCTAAGTAATACGACTACCTTCTTTGGGTCTTATTCTGTCACTGTCAGCGGCTGCTGCCATTACTCAAGTGTGTTTGACTGGCAAAAATTTGCACGTCTCTGAGGAAGCTGTGTCAACTTTTGTTACTGTCACCGCCGTTATTCCACAGAACTATTTCTCAGTGTAGGAAGCGGCGTTGCTCGAGACGCGACAGAGGAAGCGGACGTCTGGATTTAAAATTCCAGCATTTCTAACACCTCGTCAAAAGAAGAAAAGGAAAAAAAAAGAAAGAAAGACAGAAATTGATTGAATTAATTTAATGTAATTCCACCCTCACTCAATATGTCACAGTATCTGGTCATTTGAAAATCTACTGGCTGTCCAACGCACTATAAAAGCCGGGAGGGGGACAGAGGAGGAGGTGTGAGTTTCTTAAGCCCTGCCTCACTAAGTGTGTGATAATTCAAGTGCTGACACACACCGTGCCTGCTTTAGTATCAATCTGTCATGCTAACAGCTTATTAGTGGCCTGAAGAAAGCGAGGGCCACCCCTCAGCTTTGAGGCTAACAAATGGCAGCGCAGCCTGGATATTTAGGTATATACACACTCATTACAATAGCCCTCGGACGGCCATACTCATTGATTCTGTTCCTGGGCTCCGAAATCAGTTGAACTAAGTTCCAGCGTCATTAACTCACTGGAGTATCCTTTAAATGAATACATAGAATTGCACTCAGCTGGTCATCCAGATTCTAAGGTGTGAGCCAACCTACGCTCAGATCCACCCTCTTTCAGTATACATAGTTTATGTCAGGTCTGAAAAGCAAACTGTGACCTGCAACAAAAAGCATACTGTAGGGTTAAGTAGCAACAAGTTTGTCAGAAGATTCGCTGGTCTCCGTTTCTGGGAAGGGTAGTGAGCCCACTCCAGAGCAGTGTGACATCTGGCTCTCTACAAAGAGAGAAGTCATTCCCAAGCAGAGCTTTATCTCAGACTCCACGAGCCTTTGTTAGTATGTAAAATGTTCAGGTTTTCACAGGGCTGAACAAACACGGCTTGTTTGAAAGGACTGTCAGGAGAAAGCTTTCATGCTCTGAAAAAAACATGGAAGGCAAAGCTCTTATAGGCAAATCTAAACAAACCACAGAACGTCTGGAACCATGTCTTTTGGACAAATGGGACCAAAGTGGTGACGTCTGGTCTTAATGCACAGCCGCACGTTTGGCTGAAAGCAAACACTGAATGTCAGCACGGACACTTCATAGCGACTGTTAAGAAGAGTTATTGAGGTGTGATGAGCCTACGGCCAAAGGCCACCTGGACACTTTGCAGTCATTGAGACCACAATGAAGTACTCCATATACTGACGTATTCTACATTGAAATGTGGGGCCAACTGTCTGACAGCTAAAGTTTGGCTGAAACTTGGTCAATGATCCTAAACAGAGAAAGATTAATAGCATAGGGCTGAAAAAGGAAACAAAATCAAGGTGTTGCAATCATCAAGCTGGTATCCAGATCTTAACCAATTTGAAGTACTGTATTTGGACTGGATTAGTAAAAGAAGATTAAATAACCTTAGGCCTTTCTTAGATTGAAAAAGCAATAAAAAGGACCGAATGATTTATGCAAACCATCTAAAAAAGACAAAAGGCCAATTGGTATTTACCACAACGCTTTGAAACAAATCTATCCTTGGAAAGAGAAACTCCCTGTTGAACAATTACCTTGCAGATGTACACTCTGACTACAAACTGACAGAAGATTTGCTCCTGACAAGCATGCCTTCCATCTCTCTCTCTTCCGCTCTTCTAGAATATGACACAGCTATCAGCAGCTTGGACGTCCTCTACTTTGCTAAACGACAGCGTATGCTGCCTGCGCAACCCGCTATTAACAAAGCAGATATGGTGACAGTGATGAGGGTGCAAATGCTAGGTATCCCATGGTTACCTCTGTTGAGCGTGGCGGAGCTGTTGATGTCTCCGGTGATGAAGGAGGACTCCTGTTTCCTCACGGTGTCGTTCCACATCCTCCTGATGCGGCTCTGTACGTGGGAGAAAAAGGAGGGCCAGAGAGAGACAGAGACGATGGGCAAAGGGCAAAGATGGTATGGGCAAAGGCAACAGGGGGTGGGGGAAAATGATGGCGTGTAGAAGGTTGGGGTGAAGAGGTGGGTGCAAAGGCAGAATGACAAAACAGGGGGAAGAAACATTAAAGAAAATAAGGGATATGATGGGCAAAAGAAGGGCAAATTAGTGCACAGGAGCCAGTGAAGGAAAAAGCAGTAGCCAAGAAACAGGCAAGGAATAATAATAATATTAATAATAGTAAAAATAATAATAATAATAACAATAATGATAATAATAATAAAGCATCAGTGGTGTTCTCCCTTTGTATACTTGAATGTCAGCAAACAATACCCATTGTAGCCATTGTAGCTTTGGGATACCCAATAAATAATAAACGGTATCCACATCTCATGTCGGCCGTATGCGGCCTTCATATGTACGACATTGCACTGTAGGGATCTAAGAGGTGGAGAGTTCTTTGCAATGACCCCAATCCCCCGTAAGGCGCGCTCTGGCCTCACCTGTGAGTCGGCTGTGCTGTAGCGTCCGGCTGTGCAGGCAGGTAAGCTCACCTGTGAGCCTGTGGAGTAGCGGCCCGGCGTCCGCGAGGTGGTGGTCTTACTGGAGGAGGAGATGGAGGTCTCCACGCTCTTGCCGCTGCAGCAGTGAGTGCGCAGACATTTGCCGTACTCTTTGCGCACCTGGAGGAGGAGGAGGGGAGGGGTGAGGGGGTGGGGGTTAGGGAGGGGTCTGGGGTGACCGCGTTAGACCGCACACATCGACAGGAGTGGACAAACTGATGTTCCACCTCCACCTCGCGCATTCCAAAGTCTATTTTCAACATGGGGCTGGATGAAAAAACAAACTCCTCTTTTGCTGCGATTCCCTGTGCAAACACTCCAGCCATGAAATTTAGACATTAAAAGATTAACTGCATAAACTTTTCCGCAGTCAACATTCCCCCCTAAAAGCCGTCTGAAAATGGGCATATTCTTCAGGGAGACATATGATGCACTTGTACACACACAGCATCTGCACTTAGATCCCAATCAAGTTAGAACAAATAAGACCGTAATTGATTTTTAACAAGCTAGTTGGACTGGCAGACGTGTATTGCCACATGCTCTGTTTGAACAGCTGTGCGCGCCGAGTTGCTCTATGCATCTTGGGAGGAACTGTGCTGGGCGGCGGCCAAAGAAAACCTCGGCCCCGTTCGGAGGACTTTTCTCTGGATAGCTGATCCCCGTGGCCTTTGTGCGCGCATGCACTTTTTCACCGGTCGCACACTTAAAAACTCCCAGCAGGCGATGATGGCATTAAGCATTTGATGCATTTGCTTTCTATACCCTACACCTCTTCTACCCTGGATTTCTCTGACAGCGTGTGGGAGAGCCTGTAAAAATATCCCATGATGTGTTGGCTCTTGTTGGGCGCCATATATAACTCGAGTATAAGAAGCAACACATCTGTGCTCACATTTTCTAGTTATCTTTACGGCCAATCTACCAGAAATAACAAACGGATGACATTTAAAGAAAAAAATGAGGAATGCTTTGGGGATGCACTAAATGGACTGATGACCTAAATTATAGAAATCATCAGGGGAGTGGTACCGTCACCTCCGCCTTGCAGATATCCAAATAGAAATTTAATATATCCTCCCAGGGATGATACCAAGAATGATTAAAACTGAGCATTATGATGACGTGAAGCATTCTGTTCTGTCGGAAACCGAAACTGACAATCTCAGTCTGTTACCTGCCGTATGATAGACGGTAGAGGGAAAAAGTTGGCTGGCTTGAGCGCTTGGCTGCAATTGTCCACTTGGCGCCTTCCTGCCCAGCTTTGTGTGACTGACTCACCTTTTTCTGTAAGATGCAGTGGAAGATGAAGATGAACATTCCCTGCAGCGAGTTGAAGATGGTAAACAGGTAGGCCATGATCACGGTGCTCTCGTTGATGTACATTAGGCCGAAGGCCCAGGTGAGGCCGAGCAGACACAGCAGGGCTATGGCGCCGATGACCCATGACCTTAAAAGAAGCAAACACAAAATGACTATACGTTCTCTGCAACTTGGGCCTCAAATGTGTTAGTCTTTTTCTTTTCAAGGTTTTGAGAAACTAGCCAGGGCTAATGGGTGTGGGACCTGGAGAGAGGGGTTAGGTAGGGTTCATTTGCAGCCCTGAGACTATGGGAACGGAATGGGGAAACAGTGGGAGTTTTGCTTAAAGGAATTATATCCTTAACTAGCCTGGGCGGATTTTCTCATTTAGATCTCATCTCAAGAGGATGGAAGGGAGTTTGTAATCTAGTTGACGTCATCCACTTGGATGAGAGAAAAGGAAATGTTCCATATTACACTTTTATCAAGACGCAGCCACACTTTATCAGCTTAAAGGCATGGCAGGAGGCAAAAACAACAGTTTCACAGCCTGGAGTGGGCTCGAGAAATCTCTTAGTGCAATCTTAACAACTTAATGTAATCTAATATAATAAAAAAAATAAATTGAAAAAAGTTTTCAAGGCTGTGAACCCTCATTCCGAATAATGGCTATGAAGAATGAGTCATAGGCCAAATGCCAAAGAAATGTAGTCATGTCGTGGCATGTATATCATTTGCAAGCCTTCGCCGAAGCGTGTGTTTGTGTGTGCGAGCGTACGCGCGTTTAAGCGTGTCTGAGTGTGTGCATGTATCCATGTGATTGGCTTCTCGGGGTAGTAAGTAGAGGGACATTACAGCCATTACAAATGACATTTCCCACAAAAGGTCACAGTTTTGGGTCTGCCACAGCTGAGAGGATGACCATTAATTTGACTGGCTGACTGGGCAGTGGTCACCTCCACTGCCACAGATAGAATCAGGGAAAAGCGCCCAGTGAAAGAAAGAGGAGGGACGGAGAGAGAAGCACGCAGAGGGTAGAATATTAGGAGAGTCACGAAGGAGGAAGAGAGACAGAGGAGGAGAGTAAGTGAGTGAGACTGAGGTGATTGATTCGACGCTGCCCTCTGTGGCACCATTCAGGCGAGACAGAGCCTCCAATAAAGCTTGTCTGATGACCCTCTTCAATAAAGGGTACACTCTTCCTTCTCTTTTTCCATCCCACCATTTTACCTCCTCCTCCAAAGCCTTCTTGAGTCTTAAGTTCACTCAGCTGTTTCCCGGAATTCACGTGCTAGGTTATAATATTTCAAAAGCTCAACAGACCTTTAGATTTTAGCGGCTATGAATCACTAACCGACAGGAATTTCCAATGTCAAATCTGGGCTTTTGTAAGGAAGTTTGGCACTTGATGCATGGACGATGTGGTTCCGTGCACAAACTAGAAAACATGTAAAACAAACAAAAATGTCTGCAGCTGAGCGGAGGGCGACCTTACCAGAGACAATCCACAACAAAGATAACTTATGATGGCTTGAGGTTAAAGAGACAAAGAAAACAAAGGGAAGAAAAAGAAATATAAGACACAAAGAATAAGACAAAAAGAGTATGATGATGATTAATGAACAAATGAGCCACATTAAGTCAAGATTAATGAAGTAAAATAGATTTAAATCTAGCCAGCCTTCAGTGTGCTCACGAAGGAAAGTCATTAAAAAGAAAAAGAGGGACCCAAAAGCATTTCATTATAAATCTTCCTTTGAATTTCATCTTTCATCAGGCCCATTCAAGACGTTTCCCTCAACTGCAGAAAAGCAAAGATCAGCCTTTGCCTTTATTCTCTGAAACTCTTTCCCCTTTAAGTTCTGCTAAAGCAGCTGTCATGAAAGATTCATGGGCAATAATATTTAAATGATACTTCAAGAAACAAGTGAGTCATTTTGTGATTTACATTAGGAATTATGATCTCGGTAAATCATTGAGCTCCTAGCTATAACAAATAGTGTGAATTACAGCAAGACTTTTTGTGTTGAGCTTGGTTAGAGTAAGAAAATATCTGTTGGTTAGGTTGGTGAAAACTATTGGTGGAAACTGTACGACAGAAATTAAACTTTGCTTCAAATAGTCAGTAGGGGTTGCACTGGTACAAAGAACAAGACTGATAATAATGATGAGATTGATTTAATGCGTATCATCTCAAAATGATGCATAATTGAGTTGAGACATGCTTTATTCAACATTGTGACTATTTAAAAGATAGCTGGATATTTTATTTGAATGAAAAAAAGTTGTAAGCTACTCAAAAAAATCTAACTAGCCTCATTCCAATCAGTCTTTGTCTCTTTCAGAAAATGTAAAATGTATAAATACATAGGTCAAACAACAATAGTTGCTGAACTTATAGATGCAAGTGTGAGTTTTGTTACTATTATACAAAAACACTAGCGGATGTAAGCTAAGCTAAGTGTTTGGCCTACAATATAACTTTTGTCCTAAAGACGTATTTAAACCAATAATATCCTCTCATTTTTGTTTAATTTAGTGTTTTATTTGTTTTTAGGTGATTTTGTACAAAGCATTTGGCAATAGTAGGTGTTTTACATGCTGTAAAATCTCTAAATGTGAAGCTGACAAATAGGCCAGCTGGGTGCTTGAAATAAGACTGAGGAATGATTTCTATTGAGTTTTTTCCATTAATCCCAACTCAAACCCCCCAAATTTATGGAGTTGGAATCCAAAATACAACATACAATTTTTAAATATTTTTTTCAACTTTTCCATTGCACTACATTTTCTTGAGAGGTGAAACATCGACATTTAGCTAGTACCACACTGCTATCTGCCAACTGCTTGTACTGTGTGGTAAAATACTAATGTAGCACAACATTCCATGGTTAATTATTTGTCCAAGGTCAAAGTGAAGCATAGTAAAAATGCATAATAGAGCATGGAGTCTTACAATTTAACTTTAAGTTTGTTAAGCTGCGCCAATTTCGAGAGCAAAGTTTCACTTTTCTTCTGTCAAATTGAGCAGCTACTTGCTTAGCTCATCTAAGAGCTTTCATGCCTGGTTTTCCAAACTACTGTCCACACCAGCAAAGGCACCAACTACTCGGAAATATTCTTGACCAGATCCCAAAACCTAAACTAATATCCTGCAACATATTTCAAAGGAACTCATCATTAACAAACTCAAGTTTGAGAATCCATTAAAAGGAGCCGAAGTTGTGTTTGTTGCTTGCAGATTCTTTATTCGACTTTAAAAAGTACCCACTGCTTCATGGGGTTAATTAGTCTTCACTTATGCAGCAGAGACAAGATGGGTGAGGACCTAAGGGTAAATTACACTCCGTACTTTTCCTCACTTAAGACAGGTGGATTGCCCCACAAAGACTCACAGCTTCACAGTTGGAAATTTTGTTATCCAACAGCTGTCTGGACCTTGACTTCTGAGCTCTATCACAGCTGTTGGGATATTTTTCTTTTTTTCACATGGTTAAAAGTCTTCTCTACTTCCCTGGCTGGCTATATTTTAACTTAGAGTTTATGCAAAATTCTTAATTTTGAATTTTGATTCTCAGTATTTAGTATGATTTTTGTGTGGCTAGATGCTTTCCACGATGACATGAAATACTAATAAAACTATCAAAACACGGCAATAATGTTTTCTGTTGATTTAGTTTGACGACCTTTGATTATTTGTGTTCATAAGAAAAGCAACCGGAATAAATGATTGAAAAAATGAAAATCAACAAAGGTCAAAATAAAAAGTAAAACAGAATGAAATGACAATGAAAAAATACAAACAAACAGTAAAACTGTCAAAGTATCAACTCTTCCTTTGGCTTAATTTACACATCCATGCTTGATCACACTTGCTTTCAACACCTCGCGCACACAACGTGGTGGCAGGATGGAGGAGTGAACAGAGGAACTTACTTGATGTTGTCAAGACATCCAGAGTCTGGCTTAAGGATGGCTGTGTGGTGGAACATCTTGTAGAGGGCAATACCGAGGAAGATTACATTTAACTGAAACACACAGACAGTCACACATGCATGTTACTTTTCTGCAGCGCCAAGGCAAAAAGAGAAACAGTGTCATCTCAGAAAATTGTTTTAAAACAGACACATTGTTTCATTTGATTCTTTCAGACGTCATTGCCTTGGAGGATCAACCCACAAGCGGCGTCCTTTCTTGGTTTAAAATACAGCAACTCCAAATGAAAGGATCACATAACAGCCATTACATTCCTGAATGATCGCCGCTTCATTTCTAAAGACGGTGTCAGTTCGACTGGATTGCCGACGTGTACGATGGGAGGTTTGGCGATCTCTGCCCGGCCTGTAGTGTGCATTTCCGAAGCCGTCGCCAGTGGGAGCGGGCCCTAACACAGCCCTTTCTCCTCCACTGCTCTCTCTCCTTTCCAGCACTTGCTAGATCAGTGATAACCCGCCTGACATATCTAAACTGAATACAAAGCATCAGCTTACAGGCAACTGGGAACATGTCACGCTGTTTCATTCGGTACCCAACGCTGCTTTTTATCTTCTTTTTTTCCCCCTCTTTCTGTCTGTGAGTCTACACAGTTGTTTAGCTCTATTTCTGTTGCTTTTTGACTTACTCGTGGTGAAATGTCTGTTCCTCCCTCTCGCGGCAGTTTGCCGACTGCCGAACCTCGTTCAGCGCGGCCTGATAAACGGACTGATGAAATTAGTCTGACTCCCTGGCAGCTCGCGGTTCCCCAGCGTTGGTGCCACTGGCATCGATGTCAACAGCTGGGCCCGGACGAACGGCGCAGTTCGGATTGTTAAATAGGTGCCAAATGGCAACACGACTTTGCTGAGCTCCCCATAAATGTGTGTAACTCCGCGTCCCCTCCAAAAGGTTTCAAGCTTGTCGGAGAGCGTGCCTACTCGAGAGCTAATCCGTGAGTGTGGATTTATAAGCTGACATGTAAACTTTCGCTACTTGAAGCTGCTGGGGAGCTCAGGCAAAAACTTGCAGTGATTACCCGAAAACCTTAATGTGACCTTTTTGTTCCTGCACGAACATGCAGCAGGAGTTCTCCTTGTATTGGCAGAGCTCTGTCAAGGGTGTGCGAGCATGAACGTGTTTGTGTGTGTGTGTGTGTGTGTGTTTGTGTATCTCACCATAATGATGAGTGTAGCGGGCCCTATGAAGCTCCAAATGAAGTATGTATCCAGCCGCAGCCAGCACCTAGAGACAGAAAAGATGAAGAGTGAGACGGTGGAGACAAAGACATCATGCATGAGAAACACTGGGAAGAAAAACAGGAGGGGAAAAAAGACGCACGGGGATTAAAAACACACTCCAGTCTCAGATGGATGCAGGCAGGCAAGGATTTACAGTTATAGGACGGGACATGCATCACGGTCAGACACGCACAAGGGTGGGGGGAGGGGGGGGCAGGAAAAAAAATGTACATTACAAGACAAACAGTATATCAAATCCTTCATGACAGAGGGAGGGACAAAAGGAATTGGGCTGGGTGAAAAAGTGAAAGAGATGAAGAACAGCACAAAAGGTGTTACAGGTTGGAGGAAAATGGACGACGTGCACACCTCAAACATACATCACCCACGGAGGGGGGGAGACAGCGAGGGATGAGCACCTGTGATAAATAAACCTTTACTTCCCCCCTGAGGGGCGCAGAATATATGCCACGTCCTGTGGTCGCAAAAAATATGACATGGCCGTGTTCATTTAAATACTGAGTTATGGATGTAGATCTCACTAGGCTATTTATGGACTCCGGGAATGGCTGTGAAGTCAGAGGACGGGGGAGGCGCCTAATTCCTGCACACGAGAGCGCATGTAGGACGCCAACACGTCAGACACACCCGGCTATTTCTGACCCCGGGGGCTGCTTTTGGTTTTTAAAGGATATACAGCAGTACGCTAAACCGTTCGCCCAAACGTCCCCAGTCACCGACGGCAGCTAACGAGGGCAAACATTTCAAAAAAGAAAGAGAGGGGAAAAAAAGACCAAAGTGCCCTCCGTTGAGGTCAGGTCTAACTGGTTGCAGAGAAAGGTGCCAGGGAGAAACCATTGGAGCAAAATTGCCAACTGATTCATGACCAGCTGCTTTTGAATTATTAATCTTTCAATTTCCAACACATTAGCGAGCCCTCCATTATAGGTCCCTGACTGTGTCACAGTATCCTCCATTAGGGCTCCTTTTGCCAAGTCATAGCCACCTTCATTATGGCTTCCCGAATAGGGCTCTGCGCCACCGGCCGCCGCGGACGGCAACGAGGTGCGCTGCGTGACAAGGTGACACAGCAGGGATGGCGGATGATATTTTCGGAAGTTTTTGTCCCAACGTGTTATGTCAAAAATGATAAGCGGTGTCGCTTTAAAGGCCGGACTGATAAATGAGTCATGAAAGACCTTTCTTTCAGTGAGACGGGTACTTTGGCGGGGGGAACTACTTCTGTCGATTACTTTTCAAATCAGCGAGAGCCGCGGGGCACCGGGGGCTATTTAAAAGCTATTTGCGTGCAATATTAGCAAAAAAACCACTGAGGAAAATCGCCCTCGCAGTGACGATCGCTTACATCCAAGATGTGGGAGGATCTGGACTCCATTCTAGAGAAAACAAAACAAAAAAACTGTCCTCTAAAACTGCTTTGTTGATGACGGCGCGCAGTGCGATTATTCTTCCTGAACTTGGCATGCAGCCTCTCATGTTTTAATGATCGCCCTGCAATGAAATATTGATCTAAGTGGCCTGCGAATTGGTGTGTCTTGATAGTTAAACATAGCTAAAATTCATCCCCTCCCATGTCTTCAAAGCTAATAGACATGCGGCTGGTGGAGAGCTGTAATGTTTGAACTATGGAGGGCCCAGAGAACAACTGGCATAAGCATTTAAGCACGTGAATCACTCTATGGTGGTGTAGCTTCCTGTCATTTTTAGGGAAAATTACTCTACAGGGAGCTGTAGGAGTTTGTTTCTAATTCATTTTTGATAGACACAAAATAGATGCCAGGTCACAGACATGTCAATGGTGGCGAGAGCACAGCGCAGGTGCATTACGAGTTCAATGGGAGTAAGATATTGGCCTCTTTTTGGAGTTAAATCATGAATCAATCCACTCAAGTGCAACTGGGGGGGGAATCGTGTTTGCTTTTGTTTATTTGTAAGTTGCCTGATCTGCATACGCTTCATATGAATGAGATGCTTCCTGTCTCTAGGAAGTCTCACAGTGTCTGAGGTTGGGCAAGTCAAGCGTGCATGACTACGTGACCTTGCGCTTTAAAAAAAAAAAAAAGATCCTCATCCTTTGCCGCTGTGCATTCTCGCCCCGCAGAGGCCGGTTTGATTTCAGCACACTCGAGTGCGAACCAGTGCCGACGTGTGCACGGCCTAACAGACTGCTCCATCACTCCTTTCCCAATCCATTCATTCTCAGTCTTTTTTTTTCTCCCCCCTCCTGTCTGCTCCGCTGCACAGCGACCCCTCCTTCCTCTCCTGCCCCGCTAAATCCTTCCATATTCGCACATTATAGCTGCGGCGCTCATGCGGGCACTCTGTGGTGCCTCCTCTCCTGCCTGTCCACACACTTTCCCTCCTCTTTTTCATCCCTCTCAGTTTCTCTCCCCTCAGCCTCTCCGTTATTGACTCTTGAGAAGTGCCAAAGCTTGTAGAGTCCACTGTGGCAGACGCAGCCAAAATGACAGCAGGCACTTCTTGTTTTTTTTTTCTTTTTTCTCCCTTCTTTTTTCTTCACTAGCCAGTCATCCTCCTTTCATGCTAGGCACTTTTCCCCCTCCTTCCTTACACTCTATCGGTGCCATAGCTCCTGTAGTCCACCGCAGCAGAGACAGCCACTATGACAGCAGGCACTCCATATCCTGCCAGGTAGAAGTACTTAGTCCTGGAGTGCTCGCTCTCGAACACCTCCACCAGCATGATGTAGAGCTGCACCCCTTCCAGGAACATCCAGGTGAACGCTGCCAAGAAGAAGAAATGGAGCAAGGCCGCGAAGACTGCGCAGACAATCTGGTGGGAGAGAGAGGAGATTAAGGGGAATTACACGCACACACAAACCTCACACAAGAAATTCTCAGGAAGCATTTAACCTGGTAGACACTTGCACTGATTAAACACCACAGGCGATGAGGGTATTAATCAGATTTGGAGGGTAATGATTTATCATATTCGGGGAGAAAATGTGAGGGATTTCAAATTTGGCAACACCGGGACGGACAAGAGGAGCGAGAGCAGGCCACTCTCAGCAGTGCTTTTCCAGTGCTCTGAGTTTACCATCTGGTCCCTCATTGTAACACTTCTAAATTAAACAACTCCGACATGATTCAAGTGCAAAATCCCGGATTTAGTTTACAGTGATTTTATTACGGATCGGGTCCCACTGTGTACACATTACAGCACTTTTTACACATCCCGCCCCTCCTTTCAGGGCGCCACAGTGTTGGGGACGATTGATTTCCCAGGTGTTTGTGATTAATCGGGTGTGTTTCATTGCTTCATTAGTACTGGAAGGCATGAGGAAAGCATCAATCAAACCTTTAGGATTACCAAAATCAACTGTCGGGAATATCATTAGGCAGAAAAGAATGCGCTGGCATGCTCGGCGCTGGCGCCGTTAGGCCGAGGAGGACTGCTGATGACGGAAGAATTCAGACGTTCAAGAAAAACCCTTAGACGTCTGTCCAACATGAAAACCCTATCTGCGAGAGAGTTCATGAACAGAAATACAGAGGCTACACTTGTGCAGGATGGCCAGATTTGCAGAAAAAGGGGTTAAAGGAAACTGCATAACTGTCGAAAATGGTGCGATGGAAAGACAAAAGCCAAAATGAGTCCATGTGATCACAAGTGATCCCAAAGCAGCAGCTCATCGGTTAACGACGCTGGTAGGGGTGTTATGGCGTGGCCCTGTGTGCTGGAAACAGGTACTGGCTCTCTTTTCTGCTCCGATGATATAACAGCCGATGGTGTTCGTGTCATATCTGTTCCACTAAAAGTTTTTGAACCCCCTTAGACTTCATCCTACAACATGTCCATGATCCCAAACATACTGCCGAGGCAGCATTAGAACCTTTCAAATATGGAAAAATAAATAGTCTCTTGATCTGGATAGAATGAAGGTAGTGGACGTATAAAAATGCTGTGATATGTGCACTTTGTTTTAATTAGAAATATTAACAAAAGGAGCAAAGGGGGAAGCCAGGGGAAAAATGTACATTTTCATGGGGAACTTTGTATATAGAAATATGGAGGGAACTTTAAACCAAAGAATATTATAACAGCTATTTGATTTGGCAGAATGACTCAAACTCACAGAAACTGCAACATTAACTGGGCCTGCATCACACTTTACTCACTGTGTGCAACACAAGAGGGTAAACCGGAATATATACGTGTTGTTGGTGCTACATCCTGTGCTGATTGATGGGATTTTAGACGATGAACTGTCAAAGGGAGCAGAAAAAGGGGGGAAGTTGAGAGATGGTTGATGAGAGGAAAAAATTATTTGGCAACCCCTTTTAGAAATCCAATGTGATTTTTTTAGTCAAATCCAAAAAGACAAATTGAAATGAAATTGGTGCAAGACAAAAATAAATGACTCAGCAGCTTCATATTAAAGAGGCAAAGCAGAAGATTTGCTGGCAGATGCTTTAGATTGAGAAGAGAAGTTTTTCATTATTTTATCAGAGTTGAGGTGTGAATTTTAAGACAAACGTATAATTAACCTGCATATTACATATTATATGTTCCTCATAATGAATCAATATGATAACACATGTACTCGCTTTGTGCTTGTACACTGACGATAAAAGAGTAAATATATATTTAATTGCACTGTTTATTGATAGCCAGTGAATCGGGACAGATAAAAGCCCTGTAAATCTGACAAAAGCAGAACAAAAACAGACGAGAGGTGGAGAAATGAAAGAGGAGCATCAAACCAAAAATCATGCTATACTGCTTTAGAAATGAACAGAGACAAAACGGAGAGGCGTGCCTTTGTCACTCAGGCGATGGCAATGTTCTAATCTGAGAAGTCACTCCTAAATCAGTCGGCGGAGGAGTGAACAGACTGACTTCAGTCATGGAGGAGTTTGCTGTTAGAGACAATTACCTAATGTCTGAGAGACAATGAGTTTAGGGGACGAGGGAGTCACTCATTTCCATTTCTAATGGTCACACAGTGAAGCTTGCAACACAGAGGCAAATACGCTCGCACGTGTGTGCACCCACACAGGTAGACAAAAAAAAAAAAAAAAATCCTGCTTATGCAGAAGTCATTAAGTTTTCCTTGAGGAATAACCGGATTAACCGGCTGTGAGCCAAGTGACGCCGGAGATGTTAATGGGGGTCAAAAATAGTCCCCAGTAATTAACAGAAGAACAGAATGCTCAAAAGCATACAAAGAAACCTGATCCTTGCCTACCTGACGCACACACACTAAAAGAAAAATGCATCAGTAGGAGGGCACTCCATCAGTTTCCTTTGTCTGTTCATTTCTGAAGAGAATATTTTCCCTCTGCAGCATGAGGAGAGGGTCTGAGGAAAAGGGGGGTAGCTATCGGTACTTTCTTATTTAAGGACCTGCAAGTTATACCGAGCTCACAGACGCACACACAAAACAAGGTGGAAACTCGCTAAGAGATTTATAAGCTTTGAAACTAAACTATGAACGCTCTGATGGAACTTTTCTGTTATAAAACTTGGAAGCGCGTGACCATAACCCCACCCATGACCCCTGTTGTGGCAGGTTTGACGCCCCGAAGCACGACTGGTGTATTAAATGTAGGCAAATACAGATTATTCAAAAGAGAATTGCAACCATGTGTTTGAGCCAGAACAGTATCAAACACTACTGAAGATAAGGCTTTACATTGGCTGCCTGGCATCTAGTTAAAATAGCTTCACAAATCGTATAAAGTTGATTTAAAGAACCCTGCACACTCTCGGGCGCTTGACTGTTTAATTTGGTAGTACTACTCTTTGAACAAGCTTAGGTTTCTCAAAGTTTGCAGCAAGATGTTTCATTTTTCTTTATGTCTGTGGCAGAGAGTGCAGTCTGCTTTGCAGCCATCTGTTGGGGCAGCTGGATTAGAGTCACTGATGCAAAGAAACTTTACGAGCCAACAAAGAAGGCTGGCTGGGTGCAGGGGACTCCTCTGGAGTCCCAGGGTTTGTGTTAAGGGTTTCTGCTAATGTGACGAAGCAATGTTCAAGTCAGAGGATTCTTCAGCCTTAATGCATCAAAGGATGATGCAGCAGGTCGTTCCGGCCCATATCGATAATTCTGTACAGTGACTTATTTATTTGGCTGGAGGATTAAAAAAAATCAAAGTTTGAGAAAACCTTTCCGTGTGGAGTTTGCATGCTCTCCCCATGTACATATAGGTTCTCTCTGGGTACTCTGGCTTCCTTCCACAGACCAAAAACATCAATGTTAGGTGACTAAAGGACTCCTTGGAATGTTAGTGTGTGGTTGTTTGTTTTGAAGTGGCCCCGTGATAGACTGGAGACCTATCCAAGCTGCCTCCCTCTCTCGCCCAATGTCATCTGGTATAGGCTCTAGCAGCCCCAGGCCCGTATAAACAATGGATGGATTAAAACTTTTTTAAAGTTTCACTCCCTTGTCTTCCCTCAAGTTTATTCAAATGATATTCGATTCAATCAGTCAAATGTAGTAAGTCTGTTGTTTTGAATTTCAAACGCACATCTCTATTGGAATGTGGACTACACAGAACCACTTACCCAAACTTTATTGCCCATGGAAATGTACTAGGGGTTGGAAGTGTTTTGAAATCTATTCACAGTTGACTCTGAATTAAAGGAATCACTGACTGTGTATTTTGGTCAAAATATCTTTGCATATCAGTTGGTCCAAATCTTAATTGTGAGCCATTTTCGAAATGGTATCCAGTAATGTTGGAGATTACCTGGGTAGTATACTTTCATACAATAAATCTGATGCACATAGTCGTCTACGTAGTATAAACCTTTTAAAACACACTATATCGAAATAAATGTTTAAAAAAGTCAAACAAAAATAGAAAATCATGCCAAGTTTTCTATTTAGCAGAGCGGTCTGGATGTTGCAAACTGAAGCTCAGCCATGACATCATCTAAGCCAACACGTACGCTTTAATAGATTATGTGGCATAGTCGGTGTAAAGTGCACTTTGCATTGTTAATCATTTCTGTGGTGTGTGGCAGTCGAGGTGTTTGACCTGCACATATTTATCATAGTAAAGTTACTTTGCCACCAATGTAGTGCAACCATTTATGAATTGGCAAATTGCAATGCATTTAATTTGTGGTTGTGCCCTGCACTCAAAATGACAATGAGGGCTGTAAAGAGAAATGGGAGACTAGTTGTATATCGAATATGTTTGTGTGTGTGTGTGTATGTGTGCGTGTGTGTATGTTTTTTAAGGCTGCCATATATTTTTTTGTCACAATAGACATATGAAAAAATAAACTCCTCTATTATGTTTGTATAGGTCTAATGTGGTCAATGCGTGTCTAGAATGTGGCCTTGTCACCATTTATTTTGTAAAAAAAGTTGCAGGATCATTGGTAAGAGTTGGTTTGCAATTCTGAAAAAGACAGCTGCATCTTTAAAATAAAGACAGTTTGAAATATAACCTCAGAGCAGATTACAACATTTTGAATGTCACTGAATTCATTTCTAGCCGGTCTACCAAAGACCGGGCTTGTTACAGCTTGTATGAACGATTACAGCATCCTGTGAACATCCACCCTTCTTACCGGCTGATCGGCCTTGTTGATCCCAACCAGGAATAACGACTCGGCGATGAACAGACTGATACAGAGGTTCTTGTGAATGGTGTTACGGTCGCTCTGTAGCCCTCTGAAGAAGCAAAAGGTGAAGATGCAGATAAGCAGGCAAACCAGCGACAGCAGGATGCCCACCCACGTGATGACATCCAGGAGCACGTCGTGCATACTGTCAGTTTTCTGCGAGAGAGGAAAAAAAAAGGCAAAGAGAGAGGTTTGCTTAAGTCAAACATCTAAGACGCACTTCCGAAAACACGGCGTCTGTAGCCAAAAGTGTGTACAGGATTCCATGTGAGGTGACGAGCCAACCCCTTCCCTCCCCATCGCCTCCGCCTCTGACTGATGCGAGTCTGGCTGTGTGTCGCTGAGCGTTCAGGGCCGAAGCGTTACGCTGCGCTGCACAGGTGTGCCGGCTCTATCCATCAGTGTCCTGCAACCTGGCAGGCAGAGCAATGTTCAACATAACATTCCTGTGATGGATCTACTGCTCGAAACCTCACACGGTGCTCACAGAGGGCTGCCAAGCCGGCTCTGACCATGACCTCTTCAGATGTAACACACATCCTCGGGCCCCGACGGGAGAAAAATGGGTGCCGCGCTCTGTCCAGAGACATGAGAGCTGATTTGTGGGGAGAGGTGCGGCCTTAGCGTCAAATTAGAGGGAGACAAAAAAACCTGCTTATCCCACACAGGGCAGGACCATAATGCTTTTATCCACCCACTAGATCTAATGGATATCCAAAGAAGTGCACTCACTTAACAGTCAAAATATCAATTTTACAATAAAGGGGTGATCTCGAGCTTCATTCCACAGCTGCTTTGCGGGAACAGAGCCCTACCGCGGGATTTGTTTGCCGCAGTTATATTTGATAAGTTTAATGCAAACTGTCTTCACAGAGCAGTTTTCTAAATGTTTCCCAGCCAAATATGAGGCTTTAATCTGTTCCACGGATGTGTTGGTCTCCGCCTCCTCTTTCCTTCCCTTCCCTTTTGACAGCTGGCCAGCCACCGCTAATCATATGATGAATAACTGACCTCTTGATATTTGCCCCCTCCCTCTCCTGGCAGGCGCAGCCAAAGGAACACATACCTTGACCTCCACGTGGGCCATGAGCACGGCAAAGCTGGTCAGGTGGGTGCAGGAGCAGCTGGTGTGTGTGCGATTGGTGAATAGAAGACGACAGTCCTGCGTGGACCAGAATCCCGTCATGGTGCGCTTGGAGTAGCTCCAAAAGGAGCAGTTGGGATTGAAATTCTTCTCCGAGTGCTGGAGGAACAGAGAGATGGCGATCAAGAGATACCCAGAAAGGCAGGACGAAAGCTGAGAGACAAAAAGCAGGAAGGGGGCCCGGGGACCACGATGGCAGGAAATAGATACTTGGCCATGGGGGAGGCGGGAAGCAGACACACGGAGCGGTTGGGGAAGCCAAAAAAGAAAAGTGAGAAACTGGTGGGAGGGATTGGTGGAGAAAGGATGGGGAGGAGAAAGCACTGAGAGGGAGTCAAGCAAACACGGCGAAACACAACAACAAACAGAAGGGACAGAACACAAAAGTGCAGCAGCAAATAAACATGGAGCCGGGGCAGGAGGTGACGGTGCCGTGTCGATGCAGGGTGTGGGCGGTTCTGGAGTGTAGGAGCCACTTGTGTTGTGCGTCGTACAGATATTCTCAAAAAGAGCAAGTGAGGAATCTGCTGACGACAAGCTGGGTTGCCAACTGGACCTGCTTGTTGGATGGTTAACACAAAACAAAACTATGAAGCTGACCATCCTAATTGATACAATATGGAATGCGGCCCGCTATTCCAAATCCCATCTCATGCTATTGAGAGTGAGCCACCGTTAGGAAATTGTAAAGTGGCCAAAAGATGTTTCTGATCTTTAAACACGACGTTTTGACGGTTCATTCTCAAAAGCGGGAAGGAGAGCGTGATCAAACAATCCAACATTCAGGCTGCCACAGAGTCAAAACAAGGCGGCAATCTTCATCTTTTGATCCCCGGAGTTCAGTCAAGTCTCCAGACAGTAAACCAAACAGCGGTCGGGACTTAAGTCTTCATTTTTGCGGCTTGAATCTAATTCCAGCTCAGGCTTCGAGTGTCATATATGCAGCATCTGTTGAGCGATAGGGTGGCGTGGCAGAATGTCAGACCTGGATGAGGTCTGTGCTGCATCTCAAATTATGATCTTAAAAATCCTAAAAAACTATTTCAATGGGAACATGTTGGCACGAGCACTATGCATAGGAACACACAGCCCAGCCGATACGGCAGGCACTGAGCGCGAGCATCTTTTGAATGTCACATCGCACTTTGCCTAAATCCACTTTATCGCAACTATTCACACGAGCAGAATCATTTGCGCTCGGTCCGGCGGGGCTCTGATGTGCCCCGAGAGCCTTTTTAACGAAGGTCGAGTGACATTTCCATTTTGGTCATTATTTAATCAGTACTTTCTCATCAACACGTTGTCCAATCAAAGAGAGTGGAGGAGAGGCAGAGCTCGGGCTTCCGACTCCCGGGGTCGGATGCTGAGCCCTGCAGCTGTTGCGATGCTCCACTGCTGTGGGGATGTGGCAGGTGGCAGGATTCGGATCATCCCGAAATCCCTTTTATCCAATATTTAGGCTCAATATATACGACATCTTTTTCATTCTAACTATAGAGATTAAACTAATTGGGGCAATTGTCATCTGCTGGTGTAGAGGGATAAATGTAATGGCTCATACTGTTCACAACAACATCATTCAGTAGCAGAGTGTCCTCAGCCAGCAGCTTCCCCGGCTCGAGAAGGTCACTCCTGTCAACAGCACTAACCTTGCACCACAAGTCTCTACGACGGCTGTTTAGAGTGAGGATTTATTTCTGTTGTCCGTATTTATTCGAACCACAGAAGTCACTCACTACTACACTGCACTAATAAGGAGGACTGAAAAGAAAAGGCTAAAGGGAATTATTGCATTGAATCCAGTCAGCGTTTTATCGACGGCTCTGTGTTCTAAATGCATAGTCTGATTATTGATTTAGTTTTAACGTCAACAGTGGATATGATTTTGATCTCGGTGCGTATAAAAGGCTGCCAACACTCTCGGGATTCATCAGTCACCCCACCTGGCGCATCTTCACACCCTGGGCATGAAGGACGTGTAAATCCTGTAAATAAAAGTCGCGATGGCTCTCATTGCACTCCATGTTTCAATTAAGAGTCCTAATGCGTCCTAGCCTGCTCCGTCCATAGTCTTAAACCCTCAAACGCCCATTTTCTTGACAGTCGCTGATATCCCAATGTGTGGCTAATTTTTTTCAGGGTGTTAATTAATCAGACTGTTGGCCGTAAATATAGCCTATAAATACTGTAGTGACACGCATGTGTAAAGCTGAATGAAGGATGCATTGGCACTGGTAGAGCACTGCTTTAATGGAAGGAGAGAAAGGGAGGGGAGGGGGTTGAGTGCCCAGGGAGAGCAAGAATTTCCTGCCTTGTAAATGTCTCGATTTCTGTGTCAGAAACAGCTCTTTTGTTTCCCCTGTCTACTGTAGCATTGATCCACGGTAAAGATTCACCGATCAGCAGGTTCAACATTCAGGAGGTTCTTTCCACTGATCATTTATAATTACATCTGGGCTGGCCATGTCATGGGAGCAATGTGAGGCTGATAGATGTGTGCAAATTTCTTGGCGGATTTCTGAACCTGAGCATGAGGGATCATTTTATGATGCGAGGCACTGATGCGTTGGTGTGGATGATCATTTTCTATCATGTGCACCCTATGCACGTATCTAAAGTATCTAAAACTTAAAAACAAAACAAACAAACCAAAAATAAAAACAGAATTCCTGTATTTGTTTATAAGGACTTTTCCACCTGACTGTATGTACTTGTGGAATTTATTCAATATAAACAATTTCCTGATTGATCCTTAAAACAAATCAAATCTTAGTTTTATCTAAAAAGAACAAATCTTTGTGCCATTTCCGAAGGTTACACGCTCCTTTTCACTGTTTTGCTGTTGGCAAGTTTGCATTAGACCGGATTGAGGCCGTTTCGTGACGTGCGCTTCCTATAGGCAGCGGTTGCTTGAACCACAGTTTGAGTTGGTCTCAATGTTGAGAAGTTACTATGAGCTACCTTGTCAGAATTCCTCCCGAATTCTTCTAACCGAGCACATTCTGACACTGACTACCCATAAGTGCTCCACATTATTCCAACTTCGAAATAACTGAATTGCTCCCTAACTAGACGCAAGCACATGATCCATCAATAAAGGCGAACAAAGGAGTGCCCCTGCAGCAGGAGAGCTTGGATTCCAGCCACATTCCTGTCCAGGTGCTGTTACTGTATGAAAAATGGTAACGCTTCACCCTATTTTTATTTCATGCCAATAAATGAAAGATATGGAGAACAGACCCATCCATAAAAGCTCTGTCTCTGTCTACTTACCTGCAGGTGTTTGACAGTGAAGACCACGGGCTCCGACAGGTAAACCTTATTGCTCTCCTTGTTAATGGATGCCGTGATGACCGGGGAGTTGACGATCACGGAGTAATTGGGATAGACTGAGTCACCGCTCAGCCTGACACTGGCGTTCTCGGTGGGCAGGTAGGCGCCCAAGTTCCTGTACAGCACAAACGCCATCCTGATCTCACCTGCGGGAACACACACACACACACACACACACGTCGTTGCCATAACCCGGTATTACAGAAATAGATTGTGGACGTGAGGAAGGAGCGAGCAATTCCATCTGAGGACAGAAAGCATCAAAAGTCAGTTAGAGAGGGAGAGAGAGAGAGAGAGAGAGAGAGAAAGAGACGGTGGGTTCGTGAACTTGGAGTGAGAGCAAAAGAAAAGGAGGATGTGAGATTTGCTTTTTACCATTTCGGCCGTGCTGTTTGAGAGTGCTGGCTGACAGCTGGATGGAGTTTCCGTGTTGTTCTGACTGAGGGAACATCAGGTCTGCGAGGTTGCCGTCCGTGCTCAGCCTGGCCACCTCCAGCTCTGAAACACATACAAACCCTAATGTCAAGTCACGGTCACGACATCAGATTTGCTTTGTGGACCCTTGTATCAGCCGGGTTTGATCACTAAGTGCTTCACACCAGAGCACAGGCATTCAGCTTGAAGCGACTTCGTTTGTTTTTTTGTTTTTTTAGAAGATGACCTGTGCTGAACTGAAATGAGTTTTTTACCTTAAGAAGGTAACAATGTTTCCAAGCAACTGTTGCAACACATTGAGGACGATTATCCTGCCTCTCTTACATTGTGAGAGTCTAATTTCACAATCAAAGTTCGTTAGCAAGTTCCCGATTACAGCCGTGTAATGTGTTAGATAAAGTTTCTAATTAAGGACTAATTATACCTTTGGTGTATCTCTATCTTGTGTCTCTGAGTGATTTGGTGATTTAGACTCCTGCTTTCATGGGGAAAACACCTCCCTAATCACACAAACAACACAGCGACATCTGAGATAAAAATGAGAGTGGATGAGGAGGCAGAAGCGGTTAAGAGGTGAAAGGGAAAGGAAGTTGAAGAAGTCGGGGAGGAGAGGGTAAAAAAAAAAAGAAGAAGGCAATCAGAGAAGCAGAATGGTTGAGATTGGAAATGAGCAGATGTGTTGAAAGGATAGGGCTGGAGTGGAGACAGATGGGGAAAAAAAAGACTACGTTTTTTTTCACTGGCTCTGAGGCTGGAGATGCTGAGGTACAGAGGAGGGGAAGGCAGAGGCAGAGTCAAACAGGCAGACTGAGACGCAAAAGGAAAAGCTGGATCCGTGTCCCTCACTTGCACATTATTCAAGCTCGACGTTCGAGCTCGGAACATAAAAAAACACACAATCACCCATGCCTACAAACATCAGCGGGGTATCGAAGCACGCTGAGTCTAATCTAATTAAAGTATCCTTGTCACGACAATCCTCCTCCTCAGAAACACACTTGTTCATTATCGTTATCACACACAGCTACCACTGTGTTATCCCTGCAAATCACTGTTTTGCTTCTAATAATAACACTATTTATCCATCTGCCTTATACTGTGCCTCGCAGTCACATACGCGCACGCAGAACCCAACACATACAACCAAAAAAAAAAACCTTCCACTAGCTGCAACCCTGTCTCGAAATCGTGTCAAATAATTTATTCTCGTCACTCTCATCTGAAGAGCTTGTTAAAAGAAAGTGTCCGTGCGTGTGTGTGTGTGTAGGGTGGGGGCTGCTTTAAAAAGTGTGAGAAAGACAGTAAAGAGGAAAGAATGAGTGTGAGAGAGAGACCAAAGTGAGAAAGGAAGTGGAGAAACACAGAGATGACAGGCTTTTATGGGGCTGGTTATGAATACGGGCGAGAGATAATCATGGTGGATCTTCCCACTGGATTAGCTGGAGGGAAGATTAACAGCACAAAAAGAAGAGGAATGTGGGGACAAAAATTTGCCACAAAAAGGCTACTTCCTGTTCTAAGTTCCTCCGAGATGCCGTGACCCACATCTCTGACGACTGTTTATGTAACGACGCTTCTATGCTGCAATCGGGAGAAAAAAAACAAGAGGAGATGTGAGCCTAAAATTATGTAAGTTCAAACAATGGAGGTTGTCAGCTTTTTGGACCGTGCGGCTGGTCTTTAAATTAATCAGGAACCTTAAAAAGGTCTGTTTGCGGGGGGGATCTTTAATGTGGCTGCTTCCTTGTGTGACTTAAGTAAACGCAATGTCATGGCATCCTGATTTGAAATGGAGCAAAAAAAAAAAAAAAAGATGGGGAAAAAAAATTAGAAAGAAAAACCTCAGAGCATCATTTGACATTCCACTGCCACCGCCACCCTCAAGCATGCACTCATCCAGCCTTCTTCTTTTCTTATCATTTTCAGTTTCCTCTTTTCTCCCGCTCCTCCTCCATGGCTTTTCATCTGTGACTGAGTGGCGCACACGCATGCTGGATTCTAGTAGCGAGGGGAGCCATGTGGAGGACATTTTTACATATCGAATCAAAAGGGGGAGTCAACAGCAGGAAAACTGAGGAAAACACAAGTGGGTGCAACTTGCGTCTCTGGGTGCAGATGAAATGATGGTTCACAGATATGTCATCATCTAAAGCCGCGGAAAGCAAAGAGGCTTTTTGCTCTCTAGTAACACGCCGTTATGAGACGAGATGATGAGTGGAGACAAGAAAAAAAAAAGCAGAGGGAATGGAGGAGAGAGGTGAAACAGAGAGGAGGGAAGGGATGTGCACAGTGCCATATTAACAAGCTCTGTTCTGCTTTGTCAATTCCGCCTACGAGCCAAGGGAAGAAAATATGGAAAAAGTAAATAAGTAAATAAAAATGATTGTCTCTGGCAAACAACTCGCGTCTGCCTGGAGGCCGAGATTTTTGCCTGCGCTTCGTTAGATGAGGATCTCGGAGGGTTCGACCCTTTGAAACGTCTTTATCGTGACCTCCATCTGGCAGCTTTGCTCTGCATGAAGAAGCAAAGCACGCAAAGGGGTCACATCTAGGGAAGGAGGACGGCGCGGGCGTTTCATGTACATGGGAAATTCCTCCCGAATGAACCTGAACTGCTCAAAGCAAAACAATGACACCAATGCATGAGCATACAACAGCTCAACAGGTTAGAGGTCTGATGTGCTGCAGGTATCCATGAGCAGTGCATAACCTAAACGTTACAGCTGACTAAAACTAAAACTAAAAAAAATTAACTGAGAATTTTCACAGATGTGCAAAGAAAGTATATGACAGTCTACAGCAGCCCACGTCAGTGGACGTCAAAGATTATGCACCGACTTGTTTTCACTTTAGTTGAAGAATTGTCCTTTAGAGAGAGTTTTTAAAACCCTGTTGGTGTTTAGGTATAGCGGCAACAGGGCTTTGAACGTCATCGGCTAAATATTACAAAGAATTATGAGTAGAAATGAACACAGTGGCCAGCATGCTCTGAAAGAAGCAGCCAGGAAAGAACCCGCTTTGAATGCAGCTCCTTTAATGCCTGAACCTCTCACAGGACTGCATATTCTACTGTGTCGGAGTCTAGCCAGAGGCCGCCTAACTAAATTGCGCCAAAGGGATCAGTTGACATCATGTTTAATTCAGCCCCGCTGTGTTTCGCGGAGCGCCGATTCCCCTTAAAAATTACAGAGTGCAAAATCACTGGACACGGTGACCCACTACTGTTATTGTTGCTGTATTCATAACTGCATTCATTGTCCCACATTTTCTGTGACCGAGTTAGTGTCGCTCCACCAGTCCCTTTGTGCTGCCAACCCGGTACCTCCTAACAGACACGAGGCAGCCACATCACAGAGCCCATTTGCTGGATTCTGACTGGGATACATTAAAAACAACTGTATTCTGCACTTAATGTCATGTCGCTGTGCGCATCGCTTTTGATTCTTTTTTTTTTCGGAGCGGCCTTTTGCTCTGTGTGTCCACGCACGTCAACTGAAACAACTCTGTTTGACGTCTTAAAACGCACAAGTGCGCTAAACACGTCATTCCTTTGCAAGAGTCTGTTGATTTTCCCTTTTAAACTTTTCTTGGAGAACACATGTTGAGTCACTCGGAGAGACCCCCCTGAATCTGCACGCAGTCCGCGTTGCTTCGTGTGTTATCGTCTGCCTGTCATAATATGTTATCACCAACAGCTTCGTGAGGCTTTGTTTGTTTAAGTTCACCGCGCACCCTGCGGAATATGAACAAATTCATCTTGCCATTACTCAATTGTTGTTACAGCTGTTGTTTTCCTTGACCTTGCTGCTCAGCTTTGGGAGCGCGTTCAAGTGATGTTGTCTCTCAACCGTAGACGCGGCCCTCATTTCCGATTTTAGGCAATTGTTATACTTTTTTTCCCTAAACTTTTCGCCACATTGAAAAGTTTATTCAATATATATTTTTGTTTGATGTAAGGTAATGTTGCAACTAACAAAGACAGAGTTATTATATTGTCATGTCTACAAAAAAATGACCTCGTCTTAAGTTCATCTTGTGTTCATGTTGTCTTGTGACTTCCTGTTTTATTTTGACAGTCATCCTTCCTTTTGCTTCAGGTCACTTACCTTTACTCTTGTGTTCGTCTGTTTCACCCTGATGTGTTTCACCTGTTTCCCATCCCAGGTGTGGTGTGTGTCTGTGGATATATAATCTACCTTTTTCCACTTCTCCTGTGCTACAGGACCCGCGTCCTGTGTTACAGTCTTGCTTCAACTTTGTCTTGACATTTGTTTTTTCCTCACAAGAGTGATTTTGATTTAGTCATTTGTGCTTCCCTCTTAGGAGTGAATTTTCATTGATACTTTGTTATTTACTATTATCCTCGTATGAGTTATTTTGAGTTCTTTCTTTTCAGCAGTGATCTTATGTTGATAGTTTGTGGTTGGCCTCGTTTTGAAAGCGTCTCTGTGTTTGTTTGAAAGAATCTCTAGTTGATACTTTAAGTGACAAAAGTACAGCTGATTTAAAAATCTGAGTACTGCACAGGTTCCTCTCAGCTAGAGGGTCCCAGGTTGGTACTTGACTGGGACCTTTCTGTCTTTCCGTCTCTTAATTGGCAGCCCTGAGCTGGCTGTGGGTACGAGTGTGTGTGTTCCGTTGTCATTATTCGCACGTAAGCTGTCTGTGTTAGACTGGGAACGCTGGCCCAATTTAGAGGGACTGGCCTTCGAATGTCACATCTATTAAATGTAGGATATGATACCGGTAAGACACAAGAGTGCGTGCCATAGTTTGACACTGAAACAAACAAAAGCGCGGCAGTATCAGAAAGTTCTGCACAAGGAGGTCCCTGGTTGTACCTCACCGAGGCCTCTCTGTGCAGTGAGTTTGCATTTTCTTTTTGAGCCTAGCTGAACTTCATGGAGTGTGTCAGGCTCTCGAACAGATACATGTTGAACAGTAACTTTTTACCTCTAAATCCACTGTGGGTATGTGTGGTTTACTTTTCCGACACACACACTCTGTTTTAGACTGGAAATTATAAACTTGGACGGATAAAACAGACCTAGAAAAGGGATGGTTGTATTTTTACTTCTCATTTTCTACTTTGGTGCAACAGGTCTGATCCATTTTAGCAGTGCCTTGAGGGTCAAACTGACAAACGGGTAGGGAAGCTTAAAAAATGCACTCACGGATATAGTCGGTGGTCTCCTGCACGGTGTCGGTCTTCAGGAGGTTGTCGGCCAGCATGAAAGCACCCGCTTCCACCGTGTCCAGGAGCAGGGTGGCCGAATGCAGCTGCTCGCTGGTGGGCAGCTCCTTCCAGGCAGACTGCGCTCGCGGATGGAGCAAATTATTGACCGTCTCCACCATAGCCTGGAGCAGCAGAGTGAAGACGCACAGGTCACGCCGCTGAGGCTAATGCTCAAACATTTATTGCACGGTAGTCAGTCAAACTAAAGGGAAAATGAATGCAAATATATTCATAATACAAGCAAATTTGCAACAGAGAATAGCTTTTCATTCATCATGTTGATAAATCATGACAATCAAGGCAAAAAAAAAAAAGAAGTTAGCAATGCAAATGTGGCATTCCCATGCACAAGACACAATGAAAGCGACAACAATGAAGCCAAAGATATTACTTTAAAACAGTATATCTTTTCCACTTTTTATTCTTTTTTTATGTGGGAAATCGCAGATGCTTTGAGATTCAAGCTAAGCAAATTACTTGATTGCAATCAGCACGTGGTTGACACCACAAGGCCTGGTAGCTTTTCTTATTTCCTTTCTCTGCTGTTTTTAAAAACGACAGTCTTATCGTGGGTTGGAAAGCTTGCACCTGAGGGTGCGAGGAGAAATTAGAGTTTTATCTGATAGTGTCTGCTGGTTCCCATCCAGCCACGAGGGGCAGTTCTGCATCCAAAAATATCCCCAAAACGAAGGAAGAGAAGAGACGGCTCTCGCGCTGCAGACGAGATGTTTTTCCGTGAAATCATACAGATTTTTGTCTCCGGCTCACATTCCCTTATGCTCTTTAGACTGCCTCTCCTCCTTTTCAGACATGAACAACACAAAGCCTGGGCTGAAGCATACAAACACACACAGACACACACACACATATACGCACACACGCATATCTCTAAAGACAGGGAAAGATAAAGAGACAGAGAGAAAAGAGAGCTGGTGCAGTGGGGTGGAGGGAGGAGGGGTGAGAGAGCCATGGGAGAGCGATAAAACAGTCCAGTGAGTCCATGGTGACAGGCGTCCACTGGGAGCAAGAGAGGCAGAAAAGCGAATACAGGTGCTATCACACACACACATCTCCCACTCCCCTCTGTCTCCTTATTTTTCTCCTGGTGTGTAAACCACCCTTCATGCAGACACACTCCCACCCTTTTCCTCATCTCTTACTCATCTTTCAATGCTACCCTCTCCCTCTCGAGGAGGATGGAAAAAAGTAACACAGGTGCCATTATGCAGGCAGGAAGGGGTCTCCAGTGGGGAATTGCAAGGGCAGAGAGGAAGAGTGAGAGACAGTCGGTTTATTGCCATTCACACATCCAACCGTTTGACTTCCGCTTGGTCCCTGTCAGTCTAGGTGAAGGAGGAGGAGGTGAAGACGGAACGAGCAAACGCTGCGCGCTCTCAGTGTGCGTCATATAAAGTGTAAAGAACCAACAGACAATGAATCACACAAGTGGGGACTGAGGAGACACTGCAAAAAAAATCAGCTGTCTTTCGTAATTGCAACTAATCCTGTGTTGTTTTTTAGGTGGGGCGCGACATGTAGCTGTAAAATAACACACGAAAAGCTTATGCCGAGCCAACAAGCCATTAGGACATTTTCGTGTGTTTTTTTTTCTTTGCACTAACAGCTAATTAGAAGGGATGAATATTTGATGAGCTTGTGAGGACCACATGTGAACAAAAACTAATTAATCTGCTTCTTGGGAAGCACATGTGAAGCGCACATTTGCGTGCACCATCAAACTTATTTCCACCGGCACACTTCTCAGGCTTTGACAGCTAACTACAAGCTCCAACGCTTTTCTCTCAAAAAGGACCTAAGTTTGCAGCCACTTTAATTGTATTTCTGTTGCAGGAAACACAGCCGGTGAAACTAATGAGAAAGTTGTATGAAAAGCATGTGAAAATTCATCAGATTTACATCTTGTATGAGAGGACGGTGCCATAGAACTTTTCTCCCTCTGCCTTTGTGCATTAAATAATAATCAACCAATCAATCAGCTGATTAATGATAAATTAAAATTACAGGGACCTGAATAGCTTCAAATAGCCATATTTAGTAATACTGATAACTTGGTAATGTAAGTAATTCAAGTTTCTCATCATTTTGCATGTGATGTTAGTCTAGTATGAGCTTGATGCTGATAGTAAAATAAATGGAACACATTGTAACTAAAAAGAATGAAAAAGAAAGTTATGAGTTCCACAAAATATAACTTTTTTACAGTAAAAAATAAATACATCATGACCTTAAAATGGCCTGGTATAAAACTCTACCAATTCTACATTAGACTGTCCTTTCCGATTGAGCATGTTTATGCTATGCTTTGTTTAGGATTTCAAATATCAGTTTATATCGGCTGTAAATGTTAAGCATCAGATTGATGCACAGGAAGAGGAAATTAAATTATACAAGGGTCCGTGCAAGTGGAAGCATCAGAATGGTAATTCTATTGCTTTCTGCTATATTAGAGATTCAGTGCTCCCATAGCGCTCAGCGAGGCTGTGGGCTCCCCTCACCAGTAGCTCTACCGTCCAGAACCTCCTGCGGCTTACCCAGCCTGGCTGTGGGCTGAGGGCTGCGGCTCCCTGCTCAGCCATGCTTTTACAATCTTTTTCCCCCCAAAGCTTGTACTAACTTCTCCACTAGCTTGTGCTAGCTTTTCGTCTCATTGGTTCCAGATGATGCAAAAAGCCCCACAAAGCAAGATGTCAGGATTGATTCTCCCGGCATCATATATGGAATACATGCTGTCAAACCTCCCTTTTCTGAGACTATAAGCAGTGCTCTAAAGATTTAAATAAGGAATCCTCAGCCAAGGGATCAATGGTTATATAAGTGGCGTATTGAAACTAATTTTATGGATGTGGTAACAACTGACCAGGACTACAAAGATATTTCTCACATGCATAACACCCTTAAAAAGCCTAGATGCATTCATGGGGTGGTTTTTATGCTGAAATGTGTAAGCTGCTGATAACAAAACTAAATCTTTTTATGAGCAATTTTTAAACTTATTCCAAAGATTGGATTATCTGACAAACGATTATAATTTTTTTCACTTTTTTTAAAGTCTACTTTATTTGCTGTTCACTGTTCGCCTACAGATTGAAATAACACTAAAAAAAGACTCAGTTTTTCCCTTCGGCAACTCTTAAGTTTTGCATTTATAATTTCTCTCTTCCAGCTGATCTCTTTTTAGTTAATTCAATCGCTTGAAAGTTTAATCACTCTAATTATTCCTAACTGATTTTACTGTTTCATTTAATGTCTTTTTAAAAAACTAGTTCCATCATGATTATTTCTCTTTACCCTCTCCTACGTTACAGGCAGGGCCTCCATGCGGCAAGCCTAAATGAATGTTGAATGTCGAGTTGTGTGTTCTGAACCCGCGTGTGTGTTACTAAGTGTGCCGTGCGCCTGAGTGTGTGTTTGCCTGTAGTTAGGGGTGTGCGCTAGGGGCCAGGAGAAGCATTGTAGTGCATCATTCTGCTCCACTTGCTGTACAGTAGCAACCGAGGCAACAGAAACAGACAGAGGGGAGGATGTTCTGTGCTGTTGGCGTGCCAGATTGGAGAGCAGGAGCACTTGTTTCCATTTCCCCACTCCAATTCTGCTCCAGAGCGGTCTCCTTGATGTGTTCTACCTAGATTCCCCATCCTTTTCCTCTCACATTTAACTTTCCACCGCTCCTTGGCGCACTTTTTACTATCTGGGGTTTTTCCGAATTCGTCCAACTTTTCCATTGAGATTAATTTCGCTGGCACCTGTGCAGGTGAAGGGAAGGATGGGGAGGGATTTCCATGGGGTCCCGACACCTCGCGCATCCAGAGGTCAGAGACGGGACCCATGTGTTTGTGAGGGGGCACGTGCGTTCCAGTGTCAGTAAGCTCTGGTGCCATTGGTGACATGTCAATCTGCAAAAAGCATGAAAACTAGAGGGCTAAAGTGGAGACCTTTTTTTTTTTTCAGGGGTCTTCAAAGAAGGGTAGGGACTCTGCAGAGACAGATAAGGGTGTCACATTTGTGTTAAAGTGTGAGTTAGCAAGTGTGCGTCTCTAAGTGGGCCGGAGTGATGCACGCGCGTATGTGCGCACACGCACGCAGACACACAGCAGTAAATGGGGCAGAAGTGAAATGCTTTGAAGCGTCGGGGTAATCCAGCGTAAACAGCAGCGGCAAGACAGACCCG